CTTCTTACCAATGAATGTACGTTTTGTTGTCATAGTAATGATGAATAAACCCAGTGAATACACACAGATTGTGCGACATTCTTCATCTCCCCAATAGGTTTTCTTATGCTGGAACCTCAGATTCAAACTCACTCAATTAAACTCACTGATTTGCGGGCATTACCTAATTCCATTACATAATCGGCACACCTATAAATGCAGTGCTGTAATTATTCCACACAAATTAGAATTCAAAAAGTCAGTTTGCGAGACCCATATAAAGATAATGGCACTTAGTCAGTGGCCATTCACCAGTCAAGTGTGAGCATTTGAGTGGGCCTGAGAAGCATGAATTGGTGGGATGCAGATGTAGTTGCGAGAATTGGTGTCACGGTGAGTAGTAGAGGATACATTCGGAAGAAGGACTGTTCTCGCGCACATTGTCAGCGCGTTCCTGACACACAATGAGTACGTGATTTAATTTAACGTCGGTACAACTTGGTGCAGCAATTGTGTTACGGTCAAATCGATTTGAGCAATGTCGGCCAAAAAATATTAGTATACTACCCAAACAATAAATGACTAATATTTTAAAAACAAATTCGGTTAGAGCGCAAATCAATTGATGACTCCAAAACGCTTATTTTTGGGCATAAAATAAGAGGATTGGCCACCACTAAAGTTCATTATTTCAACCTTCTGTCTTCTTTTTATGCGTTGACACTCAATTGACATCGTTATTAACTGCCAACTACAACTACTTCTACTAGATGGCCTAATACTAGCCTCAAGCAAGTTCCACTCGTGAGTTTGAATTGATTGAAAAAGCGACGATCGCCCATCTTTCCAAATTAACTGATGACGTGTGAGTAATGGTTCAGTAGTGAGTGGTGGTGAGCTGTGCTTTGTGCATCATCCCCCGTTGCTTAGTTTGTTCATAGAAATATTGCGATGAAGGAGTAGATGAAGTTGATGATGACGATGATGATGATGATGAGGTTGCTGATGTGAGGGGGATGCTTGAAAATGTTGGAAAATTCAATAAAGTGCATCAACAGATTGATTCACCTCCCACTCTAGCAGAATGCGAAAAAAATGCAGATCGATGCATTCAAATGGTGAAAACTCGATTCGACATTCGTTTGAGATCACTCTGTGCCAACTATCTTGGGAGCAGTAGCGAAAGAATCACTATCAAATAAGTAAAGTCCATAGAAGCCTTCTTCTTTTCCTGTGAATTTCATAAGAGATAGGAAAATTATATACTAAATAGATATGAGAGAGGTGTTGGAAGACGTATTGATAATACGTTGTGAATATCATATTCTGAATTAGGGCTGCAATGGAAGAAGAATTGAGACGGCTTTGACAGTTTTCGTTTTAAATTCATGGTTAATAGGAGGTTTGTCAACAAAAATACACAATTCCCTGAACACTGAACTCGTTCAAGTACCATACCATAGTCAAATGAAATTCGATTTTTCCGATGCAAGCTCTATTTGAGAAGCTTTATTAAATTCTGCTCGAAATGTATTCAGTCAAATTATCCACACTTGTCAGACATTCATTCGTTCGATTTCACGCCTCATTAGGACAAGCAATTGGCCAATATTACATCAAGCACTCAAACATCTATTGGTTACTTATAATCAAATTAATAGACTTGACCAATCGTTGACGTCACTCTGCTGATTAATGATTAAAGTATTTTCTCAAAATATCAATATGAATTTGATCATATTTGAGTGGCAAGTATTCTCTTGGCTTCTCACACCATGGCCGAGTCACAGCAAACACTTTATGAAGCTATCACTCAAAATGACATTGATTCTGTGAGAATTCAACTGGCAAACAATGTAAGTCGAACTACATTGATATTCTTCTAGGTCAATCCAAATGTCTTTCCAAATAACCCGAAAATTACACCACTCATTTTAGCTGTGAGGCTAAAGTACCTTGTCATTGCAAATGAACTATTGATGAATGGAGCTGACGTGAATGGGGTTGATGAATTTGGATGGACTGCGTTGCATGTTGCAGTGGAAAATAATGATGAGGCTTCCGTCTCTATTCTTATTTCACATAATTGCAATTTGGAAAAATGTAACAACTTCGATCTAACTCCTCTTACGTTTGCTGTGAGGAAAAATAACATCCAAATGGTTCGCTATTTAGTTGCACATGGAGCAGTGGTTTATAAGTACTTTGATGATCCCGAACTCCCACCGCTTCCTTCTGCTGCATTCGACGTAAGTCCACCTATTGATGTTATAATTTTAGAACCGCTTGGATATCCTTCAATTCTTGGTGGATGTGGAAGAGACAGATAGAGAAACGAAGAATAAGAACATGCATTTAGCACTCAGCATAGCCATCATTGAGGGCCAAAACGAGGCAGCAAAATTCTTAATTGATAACGGGACTCCAATAAGTCGTAGGCATGGAAATTGTTTATCCCCTTTGGAATATGCCATTATGGGAAGAAATGAAGACATGGTCTCATATCTTCTTTCTCGCAATGCCTCGGTTAGCGATCCAAACCACTATGGCTTCACTCCACTTATGACGTCTATCATTCATGACAACCCTTCTGCAGCAGCACTGCTACTTTGCTATGGTATGGCACAATTATTGCACTAAGACACCTCGTTGTGTTAAGGAGCGGACCCGGATGCGCTGGCAACTGGCTTTAGAACAACAGGAGAACAGATCAAAATGGACATGAGGAAGGAGGAAATTGCCCAAATAATTTTTTTGTGGAAATATGAGTTTGTGCCGTCACTGTTTGGATGGTGATAGAATTTGTTTCCCTTATCTTAATAAATCAGAGTATTAGGACCTGGCAGCAGCAGCAACAGCTCGAGATTGTTGGGCCTTTGACTTGCTCTTCGCAGTCTGCACTGACTGGATAAGAAGATTATTCTCAGCAAGGACTTTGAAGTATTCAATGATAAAAGGAAGGTAATTGTGCCTTCGACGATTATTCTCACTTCGTTGTTCTGCTAACTTAGCCTTTTCGGCGTAGATATTGCAGTCATTTTGGGAAATAAGACTCTTATCAACCTAAAACGAGCCTCATACAGAATAAAATATGGCAAAAAAAGAAATAGAAGACCACGCAGAGGTGACTCACGGGAGGATTCGCAACATATTTGAGGGCAAGTTTTTGGTACATCTGCAAACGACTTGGAACAAGAGCCATAAGATTAAATTTTCCGTCCAAGCATTCACTCATTCGTGTGTTTATGACAGGCAATGCAACATCCAACCAGGAGGAGCCCTCATTAATTGTTGCTACACGGACAGGACTCGGTTTTAGCCCATCAAGTTCATACACTGCACCGTTAATAGGAACAAATCCAACAAAATGATAAACATCCTCAGGTCTGACCTGGTTACTTTGGTCGACCTCAAAAACCTGGGGCCTATTCAAGAAACATCATAGGACAATTAAATAATGCCATACCGAGCGAAACTGTTATGCGTGAGACGCAATTTCTCACAATCCGATAACGCAGTGCCTTTCATCTACAATTGGAATAATTATAATACAATGCTCTTACATGACTATCAAAATCTGCAACAAACGACTTGAAATCTGTTAACGTGGTCCCAAGTTTTAGATTCGGGGAAGATACGTTGAAAAGAACGTTTATAAGGGCTTGAGTAGCACAGGCGTTATTGATAACCTGCTTTGCAAAAAATATTGAGTTATCGTCAACAAAATCAAGAGGTTTTGATTCCTTCTTCTGATCATTTCCCCACTGAAATAGAAAAATAAGCCCCAGAGCATCCTTGAAAAATTCTGTATTTTGAGTGTCATAGACTTCAATACACTCTAAACCATCGGCACCTGAAAAAACTTAGACCTGATATTTTTCATACCAAAACCGGCCATTAATTCATTAAATACCCCCGGATCGCTTTCAATAAGGCACCAATTTCCTGCTACACTCATGATTATAGTCAAACAGGTTAATATTTGTTGGCTGAAATGGATTGAATAAATCATAACAGTTGTTAGTTTTATAACTATGAATATGGTATATTTATACGGGGTTCGGAGGATACTATTGAGAATAATTTACTATTTCCAAATTTTATACTTTACAGTAATTGAAATCATTAGCAGTTGACTCAAATTTCAACCTCCAATTATAATGTTAGTAAACTCAAATTGTAGGTGCATTGAAAATTTCTAAAATGATATGTAACGAAATGATCACATTATTGTGTTGTAAAAGAACTAAAGCTATCTTTTTAAGAGTTTTTCCTAGAAGACTAGAATTTTCATAGGCATATGATTGCGAAGATTACTCCAACATCTTAGTTAATGAATATCAACAGTTTTAAATTCAAGGTCCGTTTGGTATAATGACAATGGGAATCAAATTTAAGACCATTTAAAGTTTTAGTGTGTTAGCTCCATTTAATATAGTAATAAAAAACCATATGCAATGTTATTACAGTATTATATGCCTTGAATACGTATGCGATTAATGTAGGTCAAACTAGTTTTAAATAGTTTTTAAGAATATAAACAGTGTGAGAAAGGAAATTCTATTCTCAGCGGTTTATCAAATTCCCTATTGTAATAAAGTTTAAACGAACAGAATGTCCACGTGTAACTTCGTTCAATCTATGGAGTAATACATTTTATCAAATGGATTTTATTCTGATTGTAATGATATCACATACGACTCTGCTAAATTGGCCATGACAGATTAATACCCGAATTGATGACATCTGAATAATAATATAAAATATTACTCATTCTGGGGTTTGACTTACCTCCATGTGGTGCACCCTGGGCAACGTATACTCATGTGGCAAAATAGTCTATTAACTGGCAGTTGACTTCTCACTTCAAACTGCCATCACCCATCTATAAACCGGCAGTTAACTTCTGACTTCAAACTACCATGGACCGACTACATGTCACATTCGACCCCTTTCACAGTACTTATCTTACCTATTCTCTGCCCTTGTATCTGTCTGTCTCCGTTATATCTATAAATAATTATTCTGTCCCCCCCCCTCTCGTCCTTTTGTCACTGTGATATTTCTCCTAATCTCTACGATGCCCGAAGTCAGCTAAAGGGCTAATGATAACTGCCAAAACGCCTGCAATTTAAAATAAATAAATATACTACTCATTCTTTAAAAAACTTGGTTAGTACTGAATGCAGATATCTAAAATTAGGCTAAATCTTATTGTCATGGTGGAAAAGAGGATATCATTACAAAGTGCTACATTGCTGACCAATGAAAAAAGAAATAAAATATATTACAATATTAAATAAAATTAATTGTATCAAATTAATCATTGGTGCGTACGCTTACTGCTTCCATGAGAAATGTACTTGACAAATTTCTTCCCTTCAACATCGCCGCATAATGTAGTCATTATAAGATTTGATATAGAAGTATTTTCAATTATGTGAATCGAATCCCTCAACATTTCATGTTACGCCTAATAATAATTGGGTCGGTGCACTTCAAAATTTATCTTTTCAAAAAATATTTTCTGCATAATTGCATTTGATAAATGCAGAATAAAATCACAAAATGGCCCACAATAGCTTCCAGAATATATTATGTCTCCACGCTCATAGACAATATGGTTTTGCGAATTTCGTAAGAGATGGGGAAATTATATACTAAATAGATATGAGGGAGATGTTGGAAGACGTATTGATAATACATCGTGAATATCATATTCTGAATTGGGGTTGCAATAGCAGGAAGAATTGAGACGGCTTTGACAGTTGTCGTTTTAAATTCAGGGTTGAAAGGAGTTTTGTCAACAACAATGCACAACTCCCTGAACACTGAACTCGTTCAAGTACCACACCATAGTCAAATGAAATTCGATCTTTCTGATACAAGCTCTATTTGAGGAACTTTATTAAATTCTGCTCGAGATGTATTCAGTCAAATTATTTAAACTTGTCAGACATTCGTTCGTTCGATTTCACGCCTCATTAGGACAAGCAATTGGCCAATATTACATCAAGGACTCAAACATCGATTGGTTACTTATAATCAAATTAATTTACTTGACCAATCGTTGACGTCACTCTGCTGATTAATGATTAAAGTATTATCACAAAATATCGACATGAATCTGATCATTCTTGAGTGGCAAGTATTCTCTTAGCTTCTCACGCCATGGCCAAGCCAGAGCAAACACTTTATGAAGCTATCACTAGAAATGACATTGATTCTGTGAGAATTCAACTGGCAAACAATGTAAGTCAAACTACATTGATATTCTTCTAGGTCAATCCAAATGTTTTCCATAATAATCCGACAATTACACCACTTATTTTAGCTGCGAAGCTAAAGTTCTATGACATCGCAAATGAACTATTGTTATTTGGAGCTGACGTGAATGGGGTTGATGAATTTGGACGGACTGCGTTGCATGTTGCAGTGGACAATAATGATGAGGCTACCGTCTATATTCTTATGTTTCATAATTGCAATTTAGAAAAATATGACAACGATGGTATAACTCCTCTTACGTTGGCTGTGGAGAAAAATAACATCTACATGGTTCGTTATTTAGTTGCACATGGAGCAGTGGTTTATAAGGAAGAGGATGCAATTGAACTCCCACCCCTCATTCTTGCTGCTTGCCTTGTATGCTCATCACTTAAGATTTTGATTTTAGGGATATGCTGATATCCTTCAATTCCTGCTGAGTGTGGAAGAGGGCGACAGCATTAAGAAGAGAATGCATATGAATTTTGCCCTCTGTATGGCCGTCGATAAAGACCAACTCGAAGTAGCAAGGCTCTTGATTGATTACGGTGCACCATTAGGTCGCTGGGATGAATTTGATTTATCTCCTTTGGAATATGCCATTATTGGAGAACAGGATGCCATGATTTCACTTCTTCTATCTCACAATGCCTCGGTTAGCGACACAAACCGCCATGGCTTCACTCCACTTATGATATCAATCATTTATAACAACCCTTCTGCAGCATCACTGCTACTTTGGTATGGTATGGCACAATTATTGCACTAAGACATCTCGTTGTGTTAAGGAGCGGACCCGGATGCGCTGATAAATGGCTATAGAACAACAGGAGAACAGCTCGCAATGGATATGGGGAGGGAGGAAATTTCCCAAATAATTTTTTCGTGGAAATATGAGTTCGAGCCTTCAATGTTTGAATAGTGATAGAATTTGTTCCGCTTATCTTAATAAAATGAGAGACTGTTTCTGAACACTCCATCTGTATTTACATATGCAGTTTTAGTTATCATCATCAATTTGGTTGACGTTGAGCTTCACATGGATTAGGAACGTTAATGCCACAGAGGTTGAGAGGAATGTGTTGGGGGGGGGGG